AGGGGGGGGGGGGGGGAAGGGGGAGACATAATACTTTCAATAAAGATTTTTAAAAAAATAATATTTCAGGTCAAATTCTGTTCTAAACAAACAAAAACATGATAAAAATCTCTACAGAGGCACAATTTCAAAAGCCCTAATGACAACTCACTTGGTTCCAAGTCTCAGTCATAACCACAAAACTCCAGCAGATTCTATCTAAAAGTATTGGACCTGGAGTTCAGGAACATGAGCCGAGGTTGCGGAAAGAAAACCAAGCCTTCCTTTAACCTCTGACAAGAAGACAACTAATCCTAATAACAATTTTGATAATAAAATACTCACAGCCCTTGCTTCTCCTACTCGTCTTAAAATGACACCTTCTGCCAATAAAGCCTTCCCTGCTTCCACAAATAATTTCTCTTCATCTGTTTCTCCAAGTTTCTGTAGCTCTAAGTACTTCTCCACAAACCTGGAATTCCAAGCAGTCATGTCTTAGGTCTGTATACTGAGAGTTGTCAAAACATGCTGTTACACAGTGTCAAGCATTCCCTTAACAGACCTCCTTATAGAAACACTGTTCTCTAGTACAATTCAACAAAAATCCTCAAGCTGATAACTAAATTCTTAAAAATAAAAAAATAACTCCCCCAGGGTTTATAAAATGGCTTACCGTTGACAGGTAGACTTGAAGTTTGGGTTGAACAGATCAAAAGCTTTTTGACCAGATCCATAGGTTGAATAAAATTTCCTGGGAAATACAAAGAGCACCATATAAGTCTCCAATTATAGATCATGGCCAAGAACAAACCAAGAAATAACTGGTAGGCCCTGAGGAGTTCATTATAACATCACCTACACAGCCCAAGCCTAACAATTTTTGGGTTTTGTCTTTAAGTGGTGCATGCACATGGTAAATACGTCAAATGTTACACAAAGGCATCCAGGGAAAAGGGACACTCCTCCTCACCTCTGCACTCCAACCCCCCAGTTCCCTTCCCAGGAAGTAACACTACCCAGCTGCTTGTGTATCCATCCAGGAATATTCCACTAATATACACGCATATAGGCATCTATCATTCCATTTCCAGCCACATTGTTTAACCTCAAGGATTGTAAGCACTATTTCATATCTTGCCTTTTTTTTTTTTTTTTTTTTATATATTTTATTGATTTTTTGCAGAGAGGAAGGGAGAGGGATAGAGCGTTAGAAACATCAATCAGCTGCCTCCTGCACATCAGCTGCCTCCTGCACACCCCCTACTGGTGATGTGCCCGCTACCAAGGTACATGCCCTTGACTGGAATCGAACCTGGGACCCTTCAGTCTGCAGGCTGATGCTCTATCCACTGAGCCAAACCGGTTAGGGCATCTTGCCTTTTTTTTTAACTTAATATTTCTTAGAGGTCATTTTAAATCAATGCCCGTAGATTATTTCCAGTCCTTTGCTATTCTAGACAGTACTGCAATTTATTTCTTAGTGCATTGTGCAAATAAGTTTGTGGAATAAATTCATAAACATGGTATTAGGTCAAAGTATGAGCAATTGCCAAAATGCTTTCCAAAGCATTTGTGCCAATTTACACTCACACCAGTAGTATATGACAATGCCTATTTCCCCTGACCAAATTATATTTTCCAACTTTATGGTCTTTGTCAATTTGATAGGTAAAAATTATAACTCATGGTAGTCTTGTCTTTTCTTGTGAAATAGACTGAGTATCTTGTCATGTTTAAAAGCAAACCCAATTTCCTTTTCTGCAACCTGTCCATGTCTTTGCTGATTTCCATTTGGTGGTCTTTTTCTTATTGACTTATATGCAAACTTTATAGCAGTAAAAATAAAATATTAGCCTTTTGTCATACATGCTGCAAATTTTTCCCCAGTATATAGGCTGAGTTTTTATTTTGCTTATGGTACATTCTTTATGCAGAAAATTTTAATATTCTCATTTATGGCTTCTGGGTTTTATGTCATTCTTAGAAAGGTCTTAATCACTCAGACTATTTGTAAAGTTCTCCCATGTTTTCTTCTAGTACTTTTATGATTTCACTTTTTTACATCTAGGTTTTGATACCTCTAGAATTTAGTTTGTTGTTATAAGTTCTTAAAAATATAAAACACCATCACCCCCCACCCAAAAGCCGCAAAGATAGATATTCAAAAACTATTTAAATACAAGGTGTTATTATTTTGGCATTGATAGTAGTAAGAGAGCGAGCTATAAAATATTCCACATTGTCCTACCACATAAATTATGTTAATGTATAAATGAACCTGGAAAGCATGCTGACCATGTGCATCCAATGCACCTGAGCAGAAAAAAAATGTTGGAAAAATACTTAATACCCCAAAGACCTTGTGGCCTATCCTGAAAATTTCCAAGTAGAACAAGAACATACTTGTTTTCCTACCTCAAAGGAGTGTTGTGTGGGGAGGAAAAACACCCTCAAATGAAAGGTGCCTGGACTTCCATAGAGAATATAACTCTAAATTCTGTTTTCTTACATCCAGGAATAGGGGTAAGGATAAGGAACATGTATTAACTTCAGTTAGGCACAACCTCCGATCTTAACATTTAACAGAAAGGAACCATACCGATTCCCGGCATAACACTAGCTGACAAGTATTTGAGGGAAAGGGCTTTGTCAGTGACCTCCCAGTTTGCTGCCTCTGAAAGTCTCAAAGGCCACGTGACTAAAACGGAGAGAAGGATACCTGCCTTGCAGGGTTAGAGTCAGGCCAAGTAAGACGTTTGTTAAGTGCTTAGCAGGTGCCTGATGCAAAACAGATGTGCAGAAACAAGTACCTGCAACGATCAGGCAATTGCTGGACTCCATATTCTACTTCTCAGAGCTCCTGTCTCTCACATGGGGGAGGGAATTGATTCCCTCGTTTTGTACAAGACCTTCTCCAAGGGCAAGCCCGGACTCACTGTAAACCTCTCCTCCCGCGGTCCCCGCGCACCCTCTGGCACTCACGCTCTAATCAGGTCCTCGTGGTAGAAGATGTCCTGGATGGGAGCTTTGGCTTTTCCGTATCGCAGGAGAGGCCTTCGGAAGACCGGCTCCCTCAGCGGGGGGAAGGCGTGATATACGTCGAACCAGAGGGGCTTCTCCTTCAGGACCCCAGCCCGCATGAGGTCCCGAGTCCTTAAGGAAGGAAAATAGGGAAGGGCAGCCCGTTACAACCGCCTCAATCAGTCTGGTCACAGTCTGGGACATCAGGAGATCACGGCGCCGAAAGGAGGCGGAGCAGGGTGTCCCCACCTACAGGTAAGACAGTTCCATACTCCCGACCGGCCTAACCGAGCTGGGGGTTAGGCCCTCTACATCCGTGAACGCGGCCCACTTCCTCGCCCCGTTCCTGTCACGTCACATGCACACACGGCTCAGCCAGACCCCGCCGCCTCTTCCCAGAGCCCTCCGCTCCGGGAAGGGCGCGGTGCGATCGTGAATGTGGAAGACAAGAAGGTCAAGGAGTGACATCCTCCAGCACAACCGTTCGGAAGCAGGAGAGAGCACTGCAGGCCTCCCCCGGCGCAGACACCGCACCCTGGAGGATGCCTCGGCCGCCCGGCTCACA